GAGTCACCCCTAAAATGGTATAAACATTAAATTATTCAAATAAAAATTTATATATTTTATTAATTGAACGACATATGTTAAATAATAATCTAATTAATGATAACACAAGCTTCTAATCATAATATTTTGATTTGAATACGTAATCTTGTAGAGAAGAATAAATAATTAGTGAAAATTAAGAAATTGTCTCGCATGGTTGCACTTAGATTCCTAGTTAACTTGTATTGCTGACATACAAACCCAGAGCCCAAGCCCGTTGAGCTCGTCAACTCGATATGGTGTGAGCCTAATTTTTGGATTACAAGCCTTTACTTTAAATGGGCCTTAGGGCTGAAATTTTCTAATTTTATAATAAACTTTCTGAAATTCATTATGCATTTAATTAAGAAAATAATCTATAAACTACACAATTTATAAGCTTTTGTAATAAAAAATTTAGATGCTTGTTGAAGGTAATTTTGAGCAACCTCTATAAAATGGAGTAACACTTGGAAATTATAAAAATTGTATTCCAATTTGTTGTATTTTATCTTTTTTTTTAAAGGTTTAATTGACCAAGATTACCAGCTTACAAGTTTTACATTTACTAAATATATAAATAAATCAACAAGAAAAATATATAAAAATTAATAAATTTCTATTGTCTAAACAATTCAACATCTTATTCTTCAAAAAAAAAAATACATTTACTATAATACCCGGATCTGAAATTTGCCTCGGAATTAATTTTAAAATTTTAAAAATATATAAAAATATAATTTTAAAATTAATAAATTTTATTTAATATGAAATTAGGAAAAAATATAGGTTGATAATGAAATTAAAAATAATTTAAAAAAAATGGTAAAAATTTAGATTCGGATGTTGTTTTTTGAAAAAAAAATCGGAAACTCGTGGTCAAAATGTAACTAAAAAAAACTATGCCACGTAGGATCGCTCAGTCAGCAGCCTCGACGAACCGGAGCACACCGCGTGGTAAGGCACGCTGACTCGGTGCGCCACAGGAGGTCACACTGGTAATCCATGTGCCTGCGATCGGACGGTCTGGATGTGTTTCTGCACGCGTGGACGGTCGCGATTTAACGCGATGAATGGCCCATATTCGTTTTCTCTTTAAATGCGATCGAATGGTCGAGATCAAATCGCGATGAACAGTTCAGATTCATTTCATCTTTAAATACGATCGGACGGTTGAGATCAAATGCGATGAACGGTCCAGATTTAAAGGAGACGAGTATAAATATCTCGTGGGCAAAGTCCAGCGGCGCCGCCGCGAGCAAAATTCGAAACTACCTTCGATGAGCCCCTTTTTGTTTCCTGTTTAGTGCAATATTTCCACCATTGTGTTTACTATTCTGTTTTATACAGGTTGACCGAAGAAAAACACTCAGCTGCAAATGTGAACCGGCGGACCCACCACGTCGGTAAATCCCGCCGCTGATAGGTTTTTTTTTTATTTATTTTTTTTGCTCAACTGAGACCTCCTAACGTGTTTTCTCGCAGAGATTAGTATAAACCGATCAAAACCAGCCAAAACTGGCTAAAAATGGCCAGGCTGAGGGAAATCTCTGTCACGAGCGGTGATGCCGTCGCCGGAGCACGATAGTGCCGCCGTGCTGGAATTCTGAAATTGGTCGAAAAAGGTTTTTAACACCGATTTTAGATTTTTTGGGATATTTTTAGGTACGTAAAGCATGATTTAATCTCTGCAGAAAAATTTATAACACCCAATGACTACCAGTAGGTGCAGTAGAAAGTTCGGTGTTTTGTACACTGATTCGGGTAATAATCCATCACCTTATTCCCTATTATGGAATTGAAGTTTAATTATCAATAATACGGTATTTTGCGTAATTTAGATAATTTTGAGAATTAATTATAAGTTACTAATGGAGCCAAAACCAGTTATTTATTATAGTTGTACTATTTAACCGATTGTTTGATTTTACAACTTTAAATGCATGATAATATACTGAAATTGGTAAAATGATTCAGTTGTGTTTCCTTGATGCATGTATTGTTTGTCTTGCATTGATTTACGGTTAAATTATGAACCTAAAAATTAAATATAAACGAAAAATTGATTGGTTAAATAAATGAATGAATGGTAGCTTACTAGATATTCTGAGAGATGGTGGACGGACCGGGTACATAGGGAACCCTACCGTGAACGTCGCCTCATACCGGACGGGGTATTGAGGATTGGTATTTTTGGCGCTCATACCGGACGGGGTATGAGGACGACCCGTTTCACCCTCATACCGGACAGAGTATTGAGGGATGATATCATTTGCGCTCATACCAAATGGGGTGTGGGAACGACCAGTTAGTTGACAATGTTGAATAATAGTTCACGCGTAGTTGAACAACTTTATGGGTCCCTATAGATACTAGTAGGCAAATAAAAAGGAAAGGTTATTATTCTTACTTACTTGAATATGAGATTATGATGTTGTTGAGCTATTGTCTCTATAGGTCAGTTTTGGAAATCTCGCAACGGTAAGTATGCAATAAATAATTTTACTTATGATAAATGAATTTACTTAAATTAAGAGCTATATTGGTTGTTTTGATGATTTTTACCAACTTTCAGTTTCTGCATTGGTGAGTAGTGTGATATTTTTACTAGATTAGTGTACCTCACCCTTTCATTAATTATTTAGGGATTTAGATCCCGATCAACAAGGGGGTTGTGAATAGTTCACCACCCGAACTCCTTCAAAAGCTAGTGAAGGTCGTCCTAAGATGCTCAGTTGTTTACTTTTCGTTTATTTCTTTGATTTTTGTTTGTTCTTTTAGAAGGGACGTTCTTGTAGCCCTATTGGATATTTTAAGCTATTATATAAAGAATGTAAACCTTAACTCTATTATTCTGCTTCTACATTCAATTTATGATTTTATTTTAGTTTAAGTTTCGGGCTGTTATAGTTGGTATCATAGCCGCGTTTCTCGAAACTATTCCTTACATAAAGACTTAAAAATACCAAATACGAACTATCACTTAACTCTTCCTTATGAAAAAATAAGTACAAAGATACGAGGAGATGAGGTCCCTTACTGAACAGGACAGCCCGAGACGGTTCGCTTCGAGAGGATGTCGATTGGCTCTTCGAGATTTTAAAGAGACTCATCTCTGTCCAGTAGGCTAAGAAAAATATGAGGGAATTGTCTGACCCTCCACCACTTCCACAATATGAGTCACCCCTACAACGAGAGGATCTAACGCCACCTCGATGCAACCTTACTCCTCCGTCGTATCATCCGACACCTTCACAATACAATTCAAAGTCCCTACCGTATCATCTGACACCGTTACAGGGCCACCTGGTCCCTCCCCAGCAACATCTGGTCCCTCTTCCATGAGACTTGGTTTCACTCATAATGGACCTGATAGAGATTGACACGGGAGACCCTAATATATTTTCAAGAATGAACTAGTTAGTGATGTATCACGCCACTGTGTATTGTTTCCACGAGAAAAATTGTATTTAAGCCTCTTAATGAGAAGTCATTTACAAGCTAATAAAAGTTTTGAATATTATTTCCTCATAGCAATTTTCTTATTATATAGCGCTTTAACTCGGTTATTTTCTCTAACTGGATAAACCTAAGAAAGAAATTTGCACTCTAGAGATGGAAGAGTTCTATTAATTATTTTTATGATTTTTACCAACCTTTAGTTTCTGTATCGGTAAGTAGTATGATATTCTTACTAGATTAGTGTAGCTTACTCCTTCATTAACTATTTCAGATCAAGAGGAACAAGATTCAGATCCTGATCAACAATGGGATTGTGAATAGTTTATCACTTGGACTCTTTCAAAAGTTAGTGAAGATCGTCCTAAAATGCTCAGTTGTTTACTTTTCGTTTATTTCTTTGCTTTTCATTTGTTTTTTTAGGATGGACATTCCTGTATCCCTATTGAGTATTTTAAACTATTGTGTAAGGAATGTAAACCCTAATTTTATTATTCTGTTTTCGCGTTCAATTTATGATTTTATTTTCTTTTAAGTTCTGAACCGTTACACTTAAATATTATTTAAAACGTTAATATTACTATATTTGGAGCATACTCAAAGATAATATGAAATTCATTTGTAAACTCACAACTTTACTCAAAAATAATGAATTATATTGTGATAAAAAAAAATTGGCTTCACGTAAAATTAAATTCTTTACAATTACTTGCGTAAATTTATTGTTATGCATATTTCTGTAGTTTTTTCTTGTGACAATGAAGTTCCTTCAACCAAATTGCATTATAAGTATATGATTAATATAATTTTATATGCCTAATTACATATATAATTTTTAACTAAAATAGTCTTTTATCATTTTCAGAAAAATAATTTATGAGATTAAGAGGAAGATTACCTCTTTTCTACGTCCGCGCAGCATTTTGTTGACATAAAATTTTCTTTGCCTGGAAAAAACTCCACCCTCCTTCCTTCCCAATTTCCACCCTAAACTGTTACACCCACATTTATATAATAAATTCATTACAATAATCAATCAATAATTTTGTAAATTTAATTAAAAGTATTTTATTTGATTTAAATACAAACTGCTATTTCCAAATTTTATCAAATTTGACCAAAATTTAAATTCTCATGCTTATTAAATTTATAATATTTCTTAGGAAAATAAATTTTCATTAATAAACTGAATAAGTTTTAGCATTAGTTTAAAATTAAGTTAAATAACAATAAAAATAAACCACACAGGCGCAGCAGCCAGTAAAAGCCGCGGGTACAGAAGCATTGACCAGACTCGAGCGACTGGGCGTTTGTCAACAACTTTAATTCTGAAGATGTGGACATGAAACGGATATTCGCGTGTTCACACTAGGATTTGGGATAAGCCACGAGCTCGCCACACGCCTCCTATCCTTTTTGAATATCCACCTTACACGTGTCTTCTATCCAACGATTCAAATAGAGCCTTGCCAGCCTGGAACTCCTGTGAGAAGCCCTCGTATTGGTGTATATAAACAACCTCATCTTCCTCCACACTCCATCCGCCACCACCGCTCTCTGATTTACAATCTCATATTTGAATCTCCATTTCTGATAATTCCTCTACTTATTCAAAACTCTAAGCATGTTTCTGAGACAAGCTTCAGCTTTTTCTCTCCCAGCGCAGCAGACTGGCTCCTCTAACTCATCGTCTTCTAGGCTCTCTGCTCTTTTTTCCTCTTCTTCTGCTGCTCTGCCCTTTGTGCACAGAAAGTATGGAAATGGATTCATGGTATCTGCCTCTACAGAGCTCAATAACTCGTCACTAACAGGCGTAGTTTTCCAGCCATTTGCAGAAGTGAATAAGGACGCTCTTCCTGTTCCGATCTCCCCTCAGATTTCGCTTGCTCGCCAGAAATTTTCAGACGAGTGTGAAGCAGCACTCAACGAACAGATCAAGTAATGACCTCCCTCTTTTTCCGCTTTTATTTGCTTTTGAGTTTAGGTTCCGGCTCAAGTTTCATTAGTCAAGGAACTTTAGAAGCGGGATATATAAATGCAGTTGTTTATGGTGTTTCCTTGTTCTTTGTGGCAGTGTGGAATACAATGTCTCGTATGTGTACCACTCCCTGTATGCATATTTCGATAGGGACAACGTTGCTCTGAAAGGGCTTGCCAAGTAATTTAAACAATACTCAATTTCTCGTTATCTATTATATGTAATTGTGTGAAAACAATTTGGTGATTTGTGCTCTTGTTGCAATCAGATTTTTCAAGGAGTCCAGTGAAGAAGAAAGAGAACACGCAGAAAAATTGATGGAATATCAGGTACTTTAGAAGATATTCTCTTTTAAAAGTAGGTCTTTCTTATTGGTTTCCTGTGGATTTTTGTACTAATCATTAATTATAATCAGAACAAGCGAGGAGGGAAAGTAAAACTACACTCCATACTGATGCCACCTTCAGAGTTTGAGCATGAAGAGAAAGGAGATGCACTTTACGGTAAGTTTCTTACTCTCTTTATTCAGTTATTTACAGTAAATAGGTATTCATGTGCTAATACGTGTTCAACCAATTGTACATGATATTAACTTGCCATGTTTTCCCCTTTTGTTGATTCAGCTATGGAATTGGCACTGTCTCTGGAGAAGCTAACAAATGAAAAACTGTTAAACCTGCACAGGGTAACATATTTTCACCCTCTCTTTTCCTTTAACTTCAATTAATAAAATGGATTTGTGAAAATGTTGATTCTTGAATCTTCCATTACCATTATTCCCTCTGTTTGGGCCTACTGAAGTATTTTTCTTTTTCTTTTTTGTGCGTTTTTTATTCTTTACAATTGTCTCCTAATGAGGTACATCCCTTTTTTTTTATGGATAACAGGTTGCAGATGGGAACAATGACCCCCAGATGGCTGATTTCATTGAGAGCGAGTTCTTAACTGAGCAGGTGAGTACAGAAGCTTTGATTTTCTTCTTATTGGATTCATTAGTTGCTTGAATAATTGTTGGAGTGGATTTAATTAGAAGTTTTTAAGTGTCTCCTGCTACTTGCGCATTAGAACAACATCCACAATCTAATCTCTCCATGGGGCAGCAACAGCAATAGTTTACAAACAAATTCTATATTAAATATGATAATCACGAATTGTTTGGAGAGTGATTAATGCATTTTGCAACACAGGTTGAAGCCATTAAGAAGATATCAGACTATGTTAGTCAACTGAGGTTGGTCGGTAAAGGCCATGGTAAATATTGTGCCAACACCCTCCAAGTTCACATTCTTACAGTAATACTTTTATCTGCTTGTGATATTTGTAATCATTCCTTTTTGGTGGCCTTGCAGGAGTGTGGCACTTCGATCAGATGCTTATTCACGGGGGAGCTGCTGCTTGATGAATTAATCGATTCTTGTTATGACGTGGTGAAACTGTTCCTTGTGCTGGAATTTGGGGTATTTCTGTTTTCAAGATTTGAGTGATTGGAGGCTAGTAATAAGCTGATATTGTCATATAGATGTGTAGTATATTGGTCTGGTGACTGGTGAAAAGCTTGGGCTAGTATAGTAATAGATGGAGGTATATGATGGTGTAGGAATATGGGTAGTACTGAAAAGCTGTGATCGATCGGGTACATGGCTTTCAAGTTTAAGTTTACAATCAATCAAATTCACCATGTTGCTTATTGAATTAGAACATCAATTTTGATCTTGATGAATGATACTTGCCGGGTTATCTTGCTTGCTTCTAAAAACACCATGTTACTTATTGAATACCGCCCCCCTCCGTCAGATAATATATGCAGTACTTGTACATACACACATTGGAAATAGGGGCTACGTTTATTCTCAGCCCTCCTACCTGTGTGTGTATATATATAGTTATATACAATATATAGAATATTCATATTACTATTATTATTATTATATATAAATAAAAGAAAATCTTCTTACTTCTCTATACTAATATGTTGTTTATATTTGATCATATCATTTAATTTTTAAATTTTGCAGAATTTATTTTTTGTTATATTGAATAAAAGAAAACTGTTATATTTTTTTATTATTTGAAGGTATATTCTAATATAAAATATATCTTCAATCCAATACATATTTCTGAAACTTAAACGTTTTATAATATTGCATATAATATTGTTATATTTTTATAATATATATTATATACATTATATTTATATTTTATAATTTGTTATATATGTTTTTTAATATATTATTTTTATATTAGATATAATTATAACTTAGCAAACATTATCAAATACATAATCAAAATGGATATTTGTATACATACTAATCAAAGAGAAAATAAACTATGGCATTGTGTCTGGATGCTTCTCCATTTGGGAGATGCTGCTTGATGACTATGCCTCTTGTCCTGGAAATTGAGGTTGTCTTGTTTCCAATATTTAACTTGAAATGTAACATATTAGTCGAGTCTATCTTTTGTTATTGCAAGATTGGTGAAAGGTTGGGACAATATAGTGAAAGATTAAGGAATATGATGCTGTAGCCTGTAGGAATCTGGATAATATTTGAAACCCTTGATCATGCCCATGGCTTTCAAGTTCCAGATTTGATTTTATGCTTTATCTTTGAAGAATCATGATACACAAGTTTCTGGGATAAACAAAACCAAACCAAACCAAAACTTTAGTCCCAAACTGGCAGCTGATATATACATGCCATTTCATATTCCCTCCTTCCATTCCGAGAACACTTCAACGATATCAAGAGAAACATAATCCTCAAGCCGGCCTGAAACAGAATCTCCAAAGTGAATTCATCCTGTTCTTCCTGTTGTTTTGAGCATTTGCAGGAGAAGAAGATTGAATTATCTCCCACATGACTTGTATATCTTTGTATTCTCTACAAGATTCCATGTCCTTGTAAAGGCCTCTAAGCCCGTTCCCCTTCCCTGCCATGCTCAGTATACAATAGAGATGTAAGGGCGCGGAATCATCACATCCCCAAACTTAGTGTGATCGATAAAAAGAGATCAATTCTGAAGCTATTAAATCTTCTGGGTGTGTGCAGGTGTAAGAGATACATAGAGCAAGATTAACGGATAATGGATTTAGTATTGATTACCTTTGGCCTTGTGTCGAAGGCGGGGTCTAAATTTTCGAAGAAAGCTCTTTTTTGTTCTAAAGAAAATTGAGTGCTGAAAGCACAGCAATCTTCTCCTCTCCATCTTCAATCTGCAAACTGCAAACTACAAAAGACCTCCTCCTCCGTATTCTTATGATCCATTTTATACACTACTTGTTCATGTTCACACTTTACTTAAACCTCCTTGTCACTGATAGATTAGTGATTGGATATAAACCAACAATACATATCAGACATGGCGCAAAAGAACAGCTAACAGGCCAGAGCACCCCTTTGTCCACACTAAATTTAGTTGCTTCTCTGTTAAAATGAAATGACAGTTGTGTCCCCGTCAATCCCAAGTACAAATTGTTCTACAACCAGAAAACCAGCATGAAGGAAAACCCACATACCATACTGAAAATATCACGAAACATTCCATTAAGTAAACCAAGGTAATCTAGTTACAGCTTACCAGAGAGCAAATTATGTCAAGGCAAATAAAATCAAGAAATAGAAATAAAGGATGCGGGATTTTTTCACTTATAAGAGGGTGTGTTGGTCATTTGGAAAATGTTTATGAACTCATATGATATGATCATTAAGAGATTCCAATTTTATATTAAATTTAAGGAGAGAGTGACTGGTGATGGGGTCCTCTGGTCAAACGGTTGCTTGGATTTTCTTTCAGTGTCTTTCTCTTTGTGCCTACACTTGTGGCATTGTCCTCTTGTTCTGCTAGAAGATTTAAATAGACTCAAATAAAGCTTTTAATATATAGTTTTATAAAGATTTGAGTTATTGGATTCTCTTTTGCTTTCCATGGAGATTGATGCTATGTAAATCAATTGGGTAACACATAAATATATATAATCATATATCAGCATGCGAAGCGTCTTGACTGACAAATAACCGACTCTTAAAATCTTCTCAGACGGAAGCTTTTCTCTGTACCTTTGATAAGCTTGGATCAACTAGGAAATTTTCATGAATCAAGAATCAAAACCACTGTGATTAAGCTTCCACATCATCGTTTTCACTGATATTTAACCCAAAACAAAGCCAAAGGACCACTTATAATCGATCCAAATTCACAAATTCTGCAAATCAACTCCTGATAAAATAGGTGAACAAAAAGGTTTACAGTACTCCTGCACATCCACTTTCCTAATCCATTAATCGAAAACTGGAGACAATTACAGAAATGATATTTTTTAGTCGTGAACAATGGAGTGAATCAGAATGGAGGCCTCATCGGTTGATGGAGCTGCATCTTCTGGTTCCAGAAAGACAACACCCAAATCTTAATCTTATGACCAAGAGAAAACTATTAGGAACAAGTAAAGCAAAAAAGAGAAAAAAAAACTGAAAAGGAATACCTGGCAAGTGAGAAATAATGTTACTAATGAGACCGCCACCTCCACCTCCACCTTCATCTTTATCACTCTTGACTGGTTCATTTTTCTTTTGAACAGTCTCTATTTTCTGGATCTCTTGTTCATTTTTTCCTAACTTGCCTTCGCATTTTTTATGGAAGAAATTATTTATGAAACTGTGAGCGGGTCCTCCTCCAGCGTCACTGGTACCCACTTCAGCCTCTGATCTGGTGCCGCCATCTTCATTTCTTATGCCGTCTTTGCCTTCAAAGTCTTCAACTTTAACCCCATTCTCTATTGGTTTTGGACTAGTTACTGGAGATACCAAGTTGGAGATAAGATTGCTTAAAAGCCCACCTCCCTTTTCTTCATCCTTCCTTTCTTCTTGCTCTTCCTCTGCTTTTTCTTCTTCACTTTCTCGTGAAAGAACCAAGTTAGAAATAAGATTGCTAATGAACCCACTTTCTTTTCTTTCATCTCCTCCACTTCCATCTTCTTCATCCTTTTTTTCTTCTTGCTCTTCCTCTGCTTTTTCTTCCCCACTTCGTGAAGGAACCAAGTTAGAAATGAGATTGCTAACGAACCCACTTTCTTTTCCTTCATCTCCTCCACTTCCGTTTCCGTTTTCTTTCTCTTCACCATCTTCTGCTGCTGCTAGGTTTACTGGATGCAGTAAGCTTTCAGCTTCTGAAACACCGTCTTCCATTTTTTTTTCTCTTAAAACCTTTAAACTATCTTTGGAAATAAATCACTCGGGAATTTAGAAGAAAGAGAAGAGACTTGGGGGGGGGGGGCAAGAGGACAGACGTCCACGTTCAGAGGTTAGTTAAATGGGAGACTATATTCTTATTACACGTATTTCATAAACCCTAAGTCTTGAAAAGCTCAATCAGCCACTAATGTCTCGCCACGTGTCTATGAATCCTGTGTTTTCCTCCTCTCCCCATGCATAGTCGGTGCAACGAATTTTCTTGCAACTTTTCTCAAGTAATTAAATATCTTTCCTTCGAACTTTGAAGATTATTAAATTACTATTAGGATTAATACCAATTTAAAAACTTTAATTTCGGTGCACTACAATTAGTAGTTAGTACCAATTAGCAAATTAATGCTTGATCATCGATATACCTAGATATGGTTTGAATTGCCTATATCACTTAATTTTTCACTAACAATTATATGCATCATTAGGATTTTCAGATACTGATTCAATAAAATTTTAAATAATTTTCAAATATTATAGATTATGCATAATAGTATGTTAATGACAGAAGATTGATTACTTTAATTAAAATAATAAAAATTTATTTTGTTTTTTTTAATTAGAATTTTAAATAATTCTAAAAAAGAAATTAATTTTTTTTTTCTAAAATCGATACTCAGAGAAATATATAAATCAATGCTTTTATAAATTTGATTATAGTTTACAATTATAACTTTCATATATAATTTATTTATTTTGGAATGATCTCTGAACAACAATCAAAGAAAAAATAACAATTTAAATATTCTTCAATACTTATATCAAATTGCAAATAAAAAATACAAGTAAAAAATAGTAAAGTAATGTTGCATTAAACTACTTATCTTCTTCTAATTGGATCTCCAAGTCTTTTGAAATGCTTCATATTCTTCCTTAGCATCCAAATCTAGATTAATACTAGTAAAAACATCTATGTACAATATTCTAATAACGTGCCACATGTATCTGAAGAAAAACAGAGCAAATAAAACATGTTCAAAAGTAAACTAACATTTTATATTGGTACGAAAAATACTATTACATTTCAAAATAACACGATCTATTTCAAAACTTTTATTCAATTAAACGCATCTAACATATTTTTTACAGCCATAAAATTATTATAATTTATTTTTTTAAGTTTGTTGTCATATAACTCAACAGTTAGATCTATTTGTTCAACATTATATTTCGATTTTGTATTTCTAAAAAAGAATATTGACTCTAACAATTCTATTTTTGTATACCAAAATAATCAAAAATATTTTCAAGAAAAAGGCATGTGATGTACAAATATTATATCTTAACAAAAGTAAATATCAAATCCTTTTTTATGGTTAGCATCCGAAGACAACATCAAAAAGGGAGGTTCAGATTCCTCATCTGATTTGCATGGTGACAAAGAGGAAAGGAGGAGAAATGGTTAAGAAGTGAAGCAACTAGGGTTGAGACCGAAGAATACCAAAGTTGAGAAAGGATAAATGTTCTAATGATGAACTTTACTCCGAGGAAGAAAAATGAGCAAACATCTATGCAGTTGAGGTTTATGATTCAACAAGAGAAAAATTTTTAGATTTGCTTTTCGAGGAGTTTTTTAAATTGTTCATTTTTTTTTTATAGAAGTTTATAAATATATGCGATATAATTCTTTAAAAATTTCTATGTTTTCAGTAATACTTTATAGATATAAATGATAAATTTTATATTGTCAAGAACAATTGTCTTTTTTTCTTTAGAATTTTTTGTTCAGTCATGGGTTTTTATCTTGAATATTTTCTACTTTCTTATTCTCTTGGCTGTCGAAATTTATACATCGTTGCTAATGGTTCATCTAATTGCTTCTCACTCCGTAATGTTGTTACGGCGTTGATCCTTGCACAGGGTTATTTTTAGTTTTCTCTGTAACAATTCTCGTGCATGTTCTAAAATTGCAAGGCTTTTGCTTTATATTTCTTTAATTCTAAGAAAAATTCGGGCTGATTTTCCATCCCTAATTGGATCAATTTTTACATTAAAATCAGAAAGAATGTGAGGTTGATCAGAAGAATATATATATATATATATATATTATGGACTTTCATGTGTCTCAATAGTTCAATTAGTTCATTTATATTTTATGAGAAAAAAATATTTTGTAAGTGCCTAATTTTGACTTCTATTTAAAAAAAATTATTTTTTAATACATCCCCTTTTTTTTTTTAATTTAAAAATCTAATGACTCCATAAAATTTGACTCAGAATTGTTAATTTTAAAATAAGAAATTATCACAGGGATAACCTTAATTATAAATTTACTTCTGAATACTCTGTTGAAAATAAAAACTTCTCTGGGATTCTACCCAAAAAAAAAAAAAAAATGGCAGGGACGAAGTTCTAATCTACACATGGCAACACCTAAAAAGGTAAAAGATAACGCTGCAGATACCTTAACCCATCATCAATCCCTATATACCTCCAGCTCACAGCATTCAACATTCCAACACGCATATTCGCCTTCTTCACCGGCCCCTCTGTTAAATATGCTTCCGCCTCCGTCGCCGCCAAAAAATCCAAACCTGAAATCGGCCACAGGCCCTCTAATCATGCTGCTAGACGTGCAACACCCAGCCGCAGGCAAGTCCTGAGAGAGCCATCCTTTATCCCCCGACGCGAACCTCAGCTTCCCCTCCAATTCCATCATCGTAAACACTCCCGCCCATCCCCTCATCACCACCACCCACGTCAACTTCAAGTCTTCAATCCCATAAACCGCACCTTTCATGACGGACAATGGCACAGGCGGCTAGCAGCTCACGTCAATGTCGAATCTGAACAGACCGGGTTGGACACAATTGAGGAGCAATTCGCTGAACGGTTTCGATACCGTAGCGACAAGGCGAGAGGAATTCTTGGTGCGCAAGTCGATGATGAAGATGAGATCCTTGACGGAGAGGCGGGTCTGAGAGGATTTCTCCGGCGACGTGAGCAATGGCGTGGAGACGGCGGTAGGAGACGGAAGGGTCAGTGGCTCTGAGGGCTACGATGGAAGGGTAGTGGGTGGTGCAGAGGGATTCCCATAAGTGCTCGGCGGACATGGACGCGTACCATGATTTTGAAACGCAAGAAGCAGCTGCTGGTGTTTTGGCGTCAAGGTAGGGAGCTAAGAGTTCAACAACCTCCCCTGGTGGTGGGTTTACTTTGTCGTCCATGGTGTTCGAGTTTCTTGGACTTATTTTTAGGGGTCTTTCTGGATACGTCAACCAGACGATCAGAACGGCGCCGTTTTTCTCCTTTTAATTTGATATACGAATAAAGAAGGCGATAGACTCTTGCTTGATTTTTATATGAGGCTCTCTGGAAGGGTGTGTGTTTTTACGAATCGGAGTGGTGGAATTCGACGAGGACTCGTGAAAAAAATAATAAATAATAATAATAATAATAAATAGGAATAAAATAAAATAAAATAAAAGAGGAAACCAGAAAGGATGTCGGCCACGAGTTCCGCCGGCTCCTCCATCGTGGCGTGAGATTGACACGTCAACTGCCGGAGATATCTACGTGGCAGCAACTTGCGTGCTGTATTTTGGCACTCTAGTCCCCCCAAAACTTGGTGCTGACATCACGCAAGGAGAACAAAATACGCACCGTTTGGTCAGCTGTAACTAAATCATGTCACGACGCCGTTTTATTGAAGTAGCCCAGAAAAATTACTTCTGGTTTGATGATCTCTCGCTCTCGCAGTTCAAAATTCCCTGGAGAAATAGGTCATTGGCGACTCGGAGAAATCAGAAATGGCGTTCTTGTTGTCCACAGGAACTAGACTGAATCTGAAACTTCACGAGCACAATGGCAGTAGAATCAATGGAGTACCAGAAAGGAATTTTTCTTTTTTTACAGGTAAATTTCCTATCGGTTTTCTTCTTCAATTTTCTATGCTTGAATTCTGAACCTACTTTTTATATAAATCTCACTCTAACAGGATTATATGAGAAGATAATCAAAAATTGGAAGAAGGAAGTTTCATTTATCTGTTTATCATTAAAAAACCAGTCACTTCCGCAAACAAAAGATGGAATTAAAGGGAAAGTCACACCTAAGAAAGGGAGGAGTCCAGTTTTGAGTGAAGGGAGGGATGAGGATGAGAACTACGGGCTTATTTGTCCTGGTTGTGGGGTTTTTATGCAAGACAAAGACCCGAATTTGCCTGGCTATTTCAAGAAGAGAAAGCTCACCGAGATAAAGGAGGAGGAATGGCGGGAGGTGGAGGAGGATGATATTGAGGGTATATCATACTGGTCCGAATTTAATGATGATGAAGCAGAAGGGGACACTGAGGGTATATTGGAGGAGGGAGATGAAGAGGAAGGTGAATTAGATTGGGAGTCTGATGAGTGGGAAGCTAAGCTTGAAATAGAAGAAGATGATCTAGAGTTGGAGAGTTTTGCTCCTGCAGGTGTGGGGTATGGTAACATAACAGAGGAGACGATAGAGAAGAGGAGAAAGCAGAGATTGTCTAAAGCAGAAAGAAAGAGGATAGCTAGGGAGCTAAGAAAGAAGGAAAAGGATGAGGTTACCGTGTGTGCCCGATGCCATTCTTTGAGGAATTATGGGCAAGTGAAGAATAAGGCAGCAGAAAATCTGATACCTGATTTTGATTTTGAAAGGTTGGTTGCTACCAGGTTGATAAAACCTACTGGAAATGCTAATGCTACCGTTGTAGTTATGGTTGTTGATTGTGTTGATTTTGATGGTTCGTTCCCAAAACGGGCAGCCAAGTCTTTGTTCAAGATGTTAGAAGGAGCCCAAAATGACTCTAAGCTTGCCAAAAAGTTGCCAAAGCTTGTTCTCGTAGCTACAAAGGTTGATCTCCTCCCTTCGCAGATTTCACCAACTAGACTAGATAGGTGGATTCGACACCGTGCAAAGGCTGGAGGGGCACCTAAGCTAAGTGGGGTATATTTGGTTAGTGCTCATAAGGATTTGGGTGTGAGGAACTTATTGACCTTCATTAAGGAATTGGCTGGTCCTAGAGGGAATGTTTGGGTCATAGGGGCGCAAAATGCAGGCAAATCGACTCTAATCAATGCATTTGCAAAGAAGGAGGGGGCAAGAGTCACAAAGCTTACGGAAGCTCCAATTCCTGGAACGACTCTTGGGATATTAAGAATTGGAGGGATTTTGTCAGCCAAGGCAAAAATGTATGACACTCCTGGCCTTCTACATCCATATCTGATGTCCATGAGACTGACTAGGGATGAGCAGAAAATGGTTGAAATACGAAAGGAACTACAACCACGGACATATAGAGTGAAGGCAAGTTGTCCCACTCCAATGCTATTACCACCTTCTGCATTTAGACAAAATGGGTGGCACTCCCTTGGTGCTAATGATTTAATATACTTTTTGTACTTTTTATTTCAAAAAAATAATGTGCACGAATTAATGGGATGCATTTGTCATACAAAGCATTAAGGATATTGAGATAAATTGACAAAAAGAAAACAGAAGCTGCCTTCAAGTTTTGTTGAGTAATAAAGAAGTCCCAGATTGAGTTTAATATTAGGAAGGAAAAATAAGCATTTGAGACAAGAGCTAGTTGTGCAACTTTAGCTTTTTGATATCGTGGCTAATGTTTCAAATGCTCAGCTAGTTGTTTCACTGGATTTCCTAGGTTAGATTATTAATTATACAGATTTACCACGATTGTTGTGGTGCAGATCTTATCTTAGGTTGTTTTTATATGTTATCTTAACAAAGTAATGTACTCAATTCCTTGCGGTGGTTATGTTGGTACTCTTAATGGATTTAATATGTTCTCCAACTCCAGGTGGGACAAGCTGTTCATGTTGGTGGCTTGGTCAGACTGGATCTCGATCATGCTTCGGTTGAAACAATATATATCACAATTTGGGCATCACCAAATGTTTCTCTGCACTTAGGGAAGATAGATAATGCGGAAGAAATACGTAAGAGTCACATTGGGGTGAGGCTGCAGGTATGTTTGTCTTGTAAGTCTTGTAAGAATTGTCATTATGTGCTTATGGCATTCTTGGAAATAGGTTGCCAATTGAAGCTTGCATGATTCCTAGGGTGCTGGATAAACTCACAAATCACTTTTAGTTGGTTTTTGTAGAAAACAAGGGAAACCAGCATAACCAGTTTTCTTACTTCACTTTCTAGTTCACTTCTTTCAATGCTTCCTGACACCTGTGAAACCTCTTCTTGAATAATTCACAGATAACCTATTATTTAACTACTTTGATGATTGAAGTGAAGACTGCTAGTAATAGTTGTTCCTTGCATGCAAGCAAAGGTTATATAGATGCTTTTGAAGCAATCCCTGCTCCAGACTGAGCATTATCTTTTTGGCTTATTTTGACAGCCACCCGTCGTTGCAGACCATCCTTCTGAATTAGGCGAATGGGAAGAGAAGGAAATTCAAGTGTCTGGAACTAGTTGGGATGTGAATAGCATTGACATTGCTGTGGCTGGTTTAGGTTGGATTTCTCTGGGTCTTAAAGGTGAAGCAAACTTGACACTGTGGACATTCCATGGCATTGGGATAACCTTGAGAGAACCGTTGGTTCTCGACAGGGCAGCATTTCTCGAAAGACCAGGGTTTTGGCTTCCAGGAGCTATATCTGATATCATAGGCAACCAGACAAAAGATGAAGCTCAGAAAAAGAAAAAACGACAGGGAAATGTTGACTTCTTGTCAGAGGTGTCTGCTTGATGAGGCTTGACCATTGAATGACAAACAAATAATGCGATTCCCTTGGTCTCAAATAGACTTGAGATTCATAGCTTAGCTCTAGTAGGAGTAGGCTCAAAGCATCCATATATCGAAACTGAATTTATTGCAATTGTGGATGCTTTGCTTCCAAGATCAGAGAGGAATTTTGTTTGATAAGTTCTTCCCACTACCAGGCAAATGAAATTGTGGAGAGAAAAAGGTTCAGATGATTTCAAAGTGCGGGCTTCGCCTTGTAAGTATGAAGCTAATGATTCCATGGCTAATGCACGTTGTATGATCTTTTTCCTTGTCAGTTTTTAACTCTGAGGAAAAGAGGAGGAAAATAGATTATAGGTGTTGATGGTACAAACTACTAAAAAACCAGTCACAATTTTTGTAGTGTTCAAGCATATTACTTTCGAGCTTTTAAGCATCGTTTGCTCATCTAACACAATATTTTTTTAATCGTGTTTAGAAAGGTAAGGTTGGACAATGGACAAACTTCTAACATTTATTGTCCAGTAAAATATGTGATATCTCAAGTGGGTATTAACTTCATATAGCAATCATTTGGGTAATGTTTATAAGAAATCTTCATAACATCTATTCATAAAGTTACATTTAGGAAAAGATAAAAATTCTATTAGAGTCAATGTCAATGGCCAAGTCTAGCTAATCTCAGAAATGACATGTTGGAAAATTAGGCATTTTGTCACCAAGGCACCGTATTGGAACCTGATTTCCTGTTTGGTAACAATCCCACCACATTGCATGCTTGAAGCGCTGGATGCATTTCTATATTTCTATACCTTTATGTCTCTACTTTGAATAACGCGGAAACCATCAATCTGACTCTCAAACAACATAAATTGGAAGAAAGCTCAGAGCCCCGTGTCAATAAAATCTGAAAGAAATTTAGATTTTCTAAATTTTGGCCGGATCATTCAAGGGATTGGTTGCAAGAAAATGTGTGGGGAAATTCATCTGTGGTGAAACAGAATGCTGTTTTTGTTTATCTTTCGATTGAGATTTTTACATTTTTGTTCACGCCTTCTAAGGACTCTGACTAAACTGAAAGTTAAAAGACATGAGGATTAACAGGAGTGATACATGAGCTGCTTGACTTGCAAACTCATCCTATACAGCCATTAGAAAACAACAACTACAGTACTAATATACTGGAGGGACGGAGATCCGCCATGATAGGGAAGCTTGATATTATGGTTCAGCGTGGCTGCTTAATGCTTCGGGGACTGCATTTCGCATTCACCCACTTGGCTGGCTTATCCATGTATTTAGCTGGTTCTGCCGGTGACTTGGGGCTTCTTTCCCCTAAAGTTCTCAAAAAATTCTCTGCCTCAACATCCTGTTTCAGGCCTGTTAATCCATGAATGAATCAACACATTAAAAAGGAAATCTACAAGGGTTTGACTTTCACATGGGACCTAAACTCAATTCAGTTAGTGGATATCCATTTCCTTACCACCATAAGACGACAGATGGGATTTGTTCTCAAGTTCAGCTTCGTAAGATCGAACAAACTCTTCGAACTGATATTCCACATTGGAGAAGTCCTCACCGGCGTCAAGATCAAACGAGTCGGGCAGTAAATCAACAATGTCACCGCTGTCAAGATCATCTTCAGCGTTGTCGTAGAAACCGTCCTCGCCCTGATGTTGGCTGAGCCAGTAGTCTCGGTACCAGGTTGAGGTTGTCACTAGCTGCCACCATTCCGGGGAGAAATCCTCAACCTGGCGAAAAGCAGCGGGAATGAAGAGAGGTGCATCGGGATTTAGTGTTGACCTTCCTCCTGAGACTAACGCCATTCTTTTGAGTCAGCTTTCTTGATCTGTATTTCCACAATCCAGAATAAGAGAAACTCGAGTAATTAGATTACAGACAAGATGCAAATTGAGAATTTTGAAAACAATTTGAACAGCCAGCAGTCTTGTTCTCAAATCAAATCATCGGCCTTAGAACAGTGACCGAGAAAGTATAGTAGAAGGAAATTTAAGTCCAGCGTTTCGATCTTAAATTTTCATCTCTGTTCTTCCATTTCCTTTTAACCAAACAAAAAAAAAAAAAAAGGATCCTATTTAGTTAAATCCACGGATCTCCGAGCTGGAACAACAAACTATCACATAGATCTCTCAAATGAAAGAAACTAATTAAAATTCACCGAACAAATAAAAAATCAGCGTTTCGTTTTCTTCCGTTTTCTCAGCAACCAACAAAGCGCTCAATAGTCGACAAAAAAAAATCAAGTAATCAATGAATTGAAGAATAACAAAAGCGAACAGATCGCAGAATTTCTCGGCTTCCAAAATCTAGTTCACAGATCGCAGATTTACCTCTTGAAAGAAGAAAATATCCTTTTTCCTTTTGTCGTTTCTGTGAGTCGAAGCTTTTCTGGTAGGACCAGATCAACCAGTGAAGGTTAAGAAGAAGACTTAACGAACATTGACGATGAGGAGTGAAGTTAGTTCGATATATATAGGCAGGAGAACCGAGGCAATGAGGTTCGGGTAATCCGAAGCAAGCCAATTTGACGACCGGGGGATACGGTCAGGTTAGATAGGCTCACACGCTGGGAGGTGATTTTTTTTTTTTACCTGGAACTAGGCGGTTGACGGAGAAAATAAAAGCGCGTTACTGTTGTTGGCGTTTGTTGACTATTCTCTACGCGTCGTGCACGATATCAATAGGATTACCACGTCATCGAAAAAGTCTAGAAACAGTTGCCTGGATGCGACTGGCTTCTGGTGTGGGTCCCATTTTTTTGTCATTAAAGAAAACTACAAAGTAATTCGAATCTGATCATTCCATCGCTTATTTTGTTAATTTTGTATGCTTAAAAAAATTTAACAATTAAAATGCTATAATTACCTTCTCATAAAGTAATGATAATTTAATTTAACGTTAGTATTTTTTTTTTATTTAAAGTAATACATATTTTTTAATTTAAGAGTTTATATAATAAAACTGGCTCCATAATTCCAGAAAAATAATTGAATTTAAAAAATTATGACTGAAAACATTTTAATTGAATTTAATCATATCAAAATAGTCTATTTATAAGTGAGAAAGTTTAAATGAGAATATAAAATACTCGAATAAATCTTTGTTCAGTTAAAATATTTTATACATAAATATTTGAGTATAAACAAACATTTTTATAAATATCAAAATCCTCTATCAAATTTTATTACAGCTCATCCTTCTACGAATGAACGAGAAATAATTATTTGATTTGAAATATAATGCATAAGTTATAGCGATCATTCATGACTCACGATCGTGTATAATTTTATTATTTATCTTTTCTAAAAAAAATTTCATATCTTATACGAATAAACGTGACTATATTGTTATAAGTATTTATGCAACAAAAATGTAGTCACATATTGATAACTTGATATGTATATATATATATTTCTATTCATCTTGTAGTATAAGAATTTCACCATAATTATTTGTGCATGCAATATAGACATGTTATTTTGATTTATTAACAATTAGGTACAAAACAAACAAGTACCAAAAGATTATGTGATAAGTTAAGCAAGTACCAAAAGATGACATAGATTTGTTATTTTCAAAAGTCATAATTTAAGTGATTAATATTTTAATTATTCCTTAATCTTTATCAACAATGGTCATTATTATGTCAAATTTTACATTAAAAAAGTTTAAATTATTACTCAACAAATTTTAAAAATAACACCTGTCATATCAATTTATTTATAAATTAATGTTTGCATTAATTAAATTCATGTAGATATAGTAGGAACATTTAATTGCATATTAAGCTATCATATCTGCATTATATTTTCAAAATTATTTGAGTATTCTTTAATTTTTCTTTTCTTTTATTTTCAAAGATGATTTTATTTCATGAATGTTGATGAAATATCTATTACGCACTTAAAATATTATTAAAATATTTAAAATTTTAGATTAAATAATATTTTTCTATCTCTATAAAAATAAATATTGGAAATTTGATTCTTATATAATATAAAATTAAATATATATTAAACTGTATTGAAAATTTAAAAAAAAAAACAAAATTAATTAATCCTTGATCTGCATAGTTGATGGAGATTGTGATGGTAATGGAGGGTGGAGTGGGAGTGATTACGATGGAATTGGGTATTTAACTTTTGACTTTCCGGGTGTGTGGGGACATGGCAGAATGAGCAAGTACAACCTAATTCGCGGAGAAGGCAGAGTGAAACCAGGATAGTACGTATTTATTTTCGTTTCCAAACAAATTGATTAGTAATTTGGTTGCAAAAACAAGTTGCAGATAATGTGCGGATGACACATGGGTTGTTGGTCGATGAAATAAAACATGATTATCATGCCCCCTTCTCTCTCTTCATCATTCATTAATTAATCATGTAATAATAACAAAGAACATGCATTGTTCATATGCTTTATACAAACGTACATATATATATATGTGTGTGTGTGTGTGTGTATTTAAATGTTAGTAAATAAGTATTAATTTGCATGTCAACTATTCACTTTTTAGAATTAAATCAGGATATGTATTTGGAAATTTTCTAATCATAATATACACTATTTATTGTTTATCTACTTCTCAATACAAATTTTATATTCTTAATGCATCAAAATAGTTAAAATGTATCCTAACTATTTAAGAAATATGCAATTTCTTATAATTATGGGAAAAAAATAACTTTGAGAAGAGTTTTACTATATATAAGTTATATTTTATTTGAACTTATGTATATATATATATAATTTTCTTAATTTGTTAGTGGATTGTGGTAATTAAATTTAATAAATTTATTATTTTTTAAATAAAATAAATATTTAATAATAGTTAAACATGTACGGTAACCTTTCGTTCATTTAGGGAAATATTATTGTGAAAATAAAAATTTACTATAATAGTGAATAAATATTTATATCATTAATTAGTAATACCATATGGGATATGAGAAATAATAATAGATTTTGACCATAGGAAAATATATTGTTACTTTAGAAGTATTTTGGAAAATAACATATATAAATACACATATATATATATATATACATTTTTTTATACAAAATTGTGACATGAAATGCTAAAAACTAAAATTCAAAGACTACTTTTTACAAAGAGGCAAAAATATTAATCAGCTCACCAACTAAATTTTTATGTAATAATTTAAAAAAAAAAAAAAGGTTATATTTTTGTGTATTTATCGTACAATATAACTTATAAATTTGTATTATAATTAAAACATTAATAAACACACTAAAAATATAACTTAATAGTGTGGAATTATTTTAATTTAATTTAGTTATTATATTAAAAATCCAAATCTTGATAGATGGGCCTTCGTGCAAACGGCGTAACTAACTGGGCCGTAACTTCATAAAAAAACTAAATTAATTGGGCCGTCACAGAATACAAATTATTTAACGATAAAAATTATTAATTTTATTTGTATTAAATTAAGAAATATTGAGCGTAAACTTTTTCCCCAATTGATTAAGCATCTATACAACAACATGCTAAGAGTGAGGTTGAAGGACGAGGAACGCAAACACCACCAGGAATGGGACATATCTTGTTGCAATCTTCTCTTGTTGCGCATTGTCCCTCAAAAAACCTGCAGTCCTCTTGGGCCATTCTTGCGTGACGACGATCTGTTATAAATTCACATCAATAAATTAATATATATATATAGAGAGAGAGAGAGAGAGAGAGAGAGAAAAGAAATATTACCAGAACGAGCGAGCAAAACAAGAGAGAGAAGAATGAGGAGAGCAAATTGAAGTTTTGGGGATGCCATTGGGAAAATTTGTAGTATCAAATTCACGATTGAATGGTAAATTGAGAGTGCATTTTATAGTGTAAATTAGGGATATTAAATTTGAAAAAAAAAAAATTACCAGATAATTTAGAATCACCAATTGATTTTAAAATATTTGAAAAAATAATTGAAAATATTTTGTTACTTTCAGAATTTTACTATTTTCAAGTCTTATTTAATGATTAATATTTTTATATGCAATATTCGGCATATTTATTTCTTATTTGAAACAATGCGTTTGAAGGCTGAAATAAGGAAAATTAAAATCTATATTTTATGATTAATCTCAATATAAATGACTATAAACTAAATTAACTACACAGTTTACCATTCCTATTTAACCCATTACAGTGTGTATATATATATATGAGAATTAAAATCACAATTAATCACACTCTATAATTATATATTACAAAAATTCTGAAATTACTTATATCTATGTGTGTAAACGTAACTCAGGAGGATACACATGAACCGCATTGGATAAACACTCACCAGTTCACAGGCCGAGAGTTTATGTTCGCTGAATATCCAACTGAGAAGGACGACTTGGAGGAATTATAATAAAACAAGTGGACCGAATTCACTAATTCACGTGGACAAGCAGCCCATCAATCTTTTTAATTTTATTTAAATAAAAAAATATATATATATCATCAATTAAATATTTTGATAAATTTATAGCATGTGAATTTAGTCATACTTACATCTAGTGTTAATTGGTTATGAATTTATAGCCGTTGATATTTCTTTTGCCTAAATATGAAGATCAT